TTATATTCCTTTGCACTGGAATGATAATGGATACTCAGTCAATACAGCTTCACGGAAAACAGGTGCAATATCCCATCCCTTGCAGACCTCTTTCTGATTTTGTTTTTCAGCATGGCCTTGTGCTTTTATATACCACTAATATGTGATATTTAAGTACTCTTTCACAGAGCTTGGCCAGAATGACTTTATATCTGTCAAATATTTTCTGTGCAGTATGTTTGGATTAGATTTGCACTTCAAAATTCCACAGAGATAGAAGGGGGGACTGTAAAGGCTTTGATTAAATGAAGGCACCGTCTCCACAACACGAAGGCCATGAACTTGTGACTATGAGGACATCTGCAACCCTTTTATAATATCAAAGCTAATGCGATGAGTGCCAGCGCCCTGCAAGAATGTGGCACGGACAAAATGAAGAAGTCCCCAAGGACCATCTTCGATTTGGCCTATGCATGATGCAAACCCCATCCAGCATGCTCGGATATTTGTGGACATCTGCCCATGCTCATCAACATGCATGGCTTTAGTCCTCGGCGATCTGACCTGCCTCAGCAACAATGGTGAGACGGTCTGATCTATAGCACTCCACTGCATTTGCTTTTATTTGCTTGTGAGAAGAAGCGTTTAAAACTTGCTCTTAAAGCTAAACAGCAACACAACTGGTTTCAGATTTCCATTTAAGCTTTATTTAATGCAAGGGACCTATTTCACACATCACATATTTCATTGCTGGCTTATTATGCAAGGTACTGTTACAATGACTTGTTGATGTATTAATTAAAGTAATAATTACAATTATGTGTTATAATACTATATTTGATCAAATAATAGGCCTATATTTGATCTTTGTTTATTGATTTATTTTTCTTTCTTAATCACAGTTTTCTTAATGTCAGTCTTTTTAGTTTTGTTCTTAGCAAACCTACTCCAACGAAGCCAAACATTAGTATTTCTTAATTTTTAATAAGGATTCTATAGCCTGACATGGCAAAATGAAGAACATGAAAAGCCAGAAATGTGTTGCTTGGCACAATTTTCGCACTAGTTTCACTTTGGGAGAGAATTAACTCAAGCTTATGGGTAAATATACTATATCATTTCTTTTATGATCTTTGAATTCAACAGCACTGAAACTGCGCTCTGTGTCTTCATAGCAAGTATTCATGTTAAAACCAGGCACTGAACCGCTTGTCCCGTTAGAAGAGCTTCAAAGATACTACATTGGCCGCACATTGCGTAACTTTGGAATTGCATTGACCTCTTGTGGTCATATCTTGTCTTGTATTTTGTGTGTAAGCGTTCAAGACGAGTCTTGAGACATTGCAATTGATTGAGTAAAAATTGTAACTAAGTGGGTTAGTAAAACTAAGTTTTTGTTTTTTTTTTACAAAAAAAAAAATATATTCTTATTTATATATTGTATAGTTTGTATTTTATATATTTTTTAAACTGTATTTATCTGTATTATGTCTACTGTTAGTGTTAAGTGTTAACTGTATGCACGCAATTTCAATTCTCTCTATGTAAGTGCTGTACATGTGGCAGAATTGACAATAAAGCAGACTTTGACTTTGACTTTGACTTTAATGTTTAAAAAAATAATAAATAAAATATTTTATTGGCAGTAAACGTCACTATGTTTTGTAATATTCCAGTTATCTTTTTAGGGGTACTATCATGAAAATAAATAAATAAATACAAGGTTTTGCTGTGAGACCTAACAAATATGTTAAAAACATCAAATTAACCTAGCATGAACAGTAGGCTATCTAGTTTTAAACACATTAAACTCCTCAAAAATTGTATTTTTGGCCTTTTACACCTCAGAGGTCTCAACTTTTTCCACTGTATCTTACAATTAAAGTATTAAAATGTAACATATATAGTAATAGTACACTGTAAAAAAAATTCTGTAGTTTTTACAAAATAATTTTGGCAGCTGTGGTTGCCAGAATAATTTTGTAAAAAATACAGAAAAACTGTAAACACATTTACGGCCAAAAACTGTACATTTTACAGTATAAAACTGTAATTTACAAACAAGAAAATTTAAATGTAAACCAGTAAATTCAACAATGCACACTGCTATTAAAATCTGTTTTGTACCTTTAACATACTGACAACCACCATAATAATGCAGGTGGTAAAAGAGAAAGCCACATGAAGAATCTAAGCTCATCACAAGTAGCTTCGCCACAAGCAGAAGTATATACTAATATATAGAAGGTGCACAGAGTCATTCATGCAAACACAAAACACCATCATGGTAACACACATGATACTTAAATAATGCAATAAACTTTCATTAAACAACAGAAGATGTAACAAAGCCCAAATATACATAACTAATAACAAAAACTATTAAAAAAACATGATTATTTAAACAAAATACTTTCAAATGTGGAGTGTCATGCAGGGAATTCTGGGAATATCAGTTTACAGTTTTTGACTGTAAATTATACATTGATTTGTTATTTTTACTTCTAAAAACTGTAAAATTAACAGCATTTTACTGTAAAATTACATGAAATGTCTGGTTAGATATTTTACAGTTTTTCCCTGTATA